ATGGGAGGACCTGACTCAGGCCCTAATACAAAGTTTTCTTAACTTACATGTCTGAATGCCTTTCAGAGAAATCCAAACTCCAAAAAGAAACTGTAAAAGTGTGGCTGACCCATTCCCTGCAGTACAAACACCAACACGTTTGTTGTTCAGTTGGTTTTGGTGAAAAAGCTGGTACCAAATGTTGAAAAATCAAACCAACACAGCTAAAAGTGATACTGTCAAGTCAGTTATATGGAAGGGAAGTGTGGGGAAAAAAAGCAGTGAGCAACAGCTAATGGAGTTTATCCTCACTCACTGACTGACTAGAAATGGAGAACAGCTATTTTACTGCATAGAATTCAAACAATCTCTTAAGATAATTATTTACTGCATTCAAATCAAATAGAATACCAAGTGAAATGAAATGCACTCATATCCAAAATCCTATTAAGATTTGTTTTAAATTGGAACTAAGCTCTCTGCACAAAGGCATATCCTCAAGATCCCAACTTGTTCTGCAATCCTTTCTAAAGCTGGTAATCATACAACTGGCTTCAAAAAAGCCAGTTTAGGGGGCCAGCCCCATGGCGTAGCGGTTAAGTATGGTGCGCTCCACTTTGGCAGCCGGGTTTCACGGGTTCAGATCTTGGGCGAGGACCTACACCACTCGTCAGCCGTGCTGTGGTGGCGACCCACAAACACAGTAGAGGAAGACTGGCAACAGATGTTAGCTCAGGGCAAATCTTCCTCAGCAAAAAAAAAAAAAAAAAAAAAGCCAGTTCTGGATAAATTGACAGACTAACAGCAGTATTTCTGTTAATGCAGTAGAGGAATTTTGGGATATCTACCCAACCTTCCCTGGACAGATGTGTGCATTTGAAAAGCTCTCTAATGGTACATATACAAATGCAATTTACATTAGATATTTAATAATGGCAGTGAGGATATCAGAATAGTAAAATTCTCTTTGCTATTTATTTATAAAAGAAACAAAAAAGATTGACTGGGATTATAAACACATGATCATGTTGTTTCAACTGGGTCCCCACTGGGGGTTACAAATTCCCTATAGTAGACAGACAGATACTGGAAATAAGGGAAGCAGGCCAGGTGGGGCATTGAAGTGTACATACCCCATCTAAAGCGGGAGACCACTATTTAGCTTTGAAAAATTGTTGCCATGTGGGAATACAGGGACAGGTGCCAGATTTTTGAGCTTTTTGAAGAAGTCAAAAGTCCAGATTTTTATAAGAGAATTCCCGAATTAAATTGTTGGCAACTATCATAAGAAAAAATTTAGAACATTCTGTATGGCAAACAAATGACGTCAGTTAAGGTAGATATGGACCTCCAGACACCAGTTTGAAACCTAAGGCCTATTACCTACCATTTAAGTTCACCTCATATCTGGGTTTAGGGACACTGGATTTTCCCAGAACTGCATACTTCAGCAATTCACACAGCTGGTCATGGGTTACTTTACAGTGTTCAGCCAATAAAATGGTAGATAAGTGGGCTTTCTGCAAAGATAAATCAGGGCATAACAAATTATCATTATCAAGAATAGCAACAAAGCAAGGCAAATTATTACAATATTCCAGTTTCTGATTATTTTAGCACATAACCTCCAAACATAAGGAGGGTTCTAAGCTAAGGCGTCAGACTTTATCCTGGGGCAACAAGGAGTTCCCTGAAGCTCCTTCCTCCTTAAAATAGCTTTGCACTTATAACTGGTTATTAAAATAACTCATGCTTGTTAAAAGAGTCAGATAATAGAGAAAGGCAAAACAGATAAAAGATAGACAACAGATAAACGAAAACAAAAGTCACCTGTACTTGTACAACTCGGAGATAATTACCACTGTCATTTTGGTCTGGGAGGCAGCAGAGTACAGGGGTTAGGAGCTCAAGCCCTGGAGTCACACTACCTGAGTTCAAATACCAAGCTCTACCATCTGGGACAAGTGCCTGAACCTAAGACTCAGTTTCTTCCTCTACAGAGTAATTGTAATTCTACCTCATGAGGTTATTGGGAAGACCAGTGAGGTAGTGCTACTTTTCCCCTGTGACTTTCTTAAGCTAATGTTGACACTTATTATTAGCTATATACAGTTCTGAGCACTTTACATCTATTAAACCATTTAATTCTTACAAGTCTTTGTAAGTGAGTACTACTATTATCCCATTTTACAAATAAACAAATGGAGGAACTAAAAAGTGATAGAACCAAGACTGGACTATAGGCTCCAAAGCCAAAACTCTCTTCATCTCTATACTATACCACCCCCAAGGGATTACAGTATACATTCTGTTTTGTAACAAACTCCCCCCACCAAAAAAAAATCTGTATTTTTCAATATCAGTTAAATATAAGAAACGTCAATTTTAATAACACTCCAGTGTCTGAATTTACCTAAAAACTTATTATTTACTTGAAAAAAATTCCTTGTTGATGACACTGCTTTGTTTTTTTTTTTAAGTATAACATTATTATGAGGAGCATTCTTGTGTAGACATCCTTGTACACCTGTCTATTTTCTCAGGATAAATTCCTGGTCAAAATAAACATGTATATTTTACATTCTTACAAATATTGCTAACTCTTGAAAGAATGTACCAAATTATCTTTACCAACCAGAAATGTATAAAATTGATAATGTGGGACTGAGTGAGGTGGGGGTCTATATGGTGGTGAGTAATCATGGTTGCTGAGCATGTGAAGTCAGAGCCCGAGCAGGGTGAGGAGGGCATCCTACAGGGGAGACAGCCCAGGACTAGGGATAGGAACCCAGGCCATACATGCAGGAGGGTGGCCCGGTGTGGGTTGTCAAAGCCTGAGCGATACCAGGAGGACATCCATGCTGTGGGAAGTAGAGAGCAGTGAAGCCTCACCTCAGATGTCAGAAACTGTTTAGGGAAAAAGAGGGCATTGATGCTGAGGGACAATAGTAGCCTTTCACAGAATTCAGAGCCTGAACAGGGTCAGGGTGTCCTTATGAGATGGATATGGGCATTCACACACGAGGGTGACCTAGTACAAGGTCAGGGTGACAGAGTTCAAGCAGGATGGGGATGTGGGTCAGTGGCAGCAATAGGGGACTAATCATATATATTGAAGATAATGGGAGTCAGGTTTCTCAATGTTAGAGAAAGAAGTTATAAATACGAAAAGGGAGAAAACTGGAATGAACCCTGTGGAATTGGACTAGAAGTGGAGATACTGGTATCAATTCATGGCTTTTCAACATGTATGGATATAGAGAAATATTGAAATGTAAAGATGTGTGTGTGTGTTTGGGAATATGTGTATATCCACATACACACATATTTCCTAGCTCTCTCGGGAATACTGACATGCCAATAGCAATCAGCACGGCTAGCACCCAAATCTTGAGTTTCTAAATGTCATTCTCCACTAAAAAGAACCAAATATCCTAGGAAAAATGCCTGACCAGGGCTGGGGAAGGGAACCCACAGAAGAGTCTGAAATAACATGTTTTTGTGTCAGAAAGTAAGGAAAGGATCAAAGAAAGATGGGGGTCATGTCCAAAGGACACAGAAGCTAGCTTCATGGCCAAATCTGGGATATTTTCAGCACCAATATAAATATAGTAATGGATTATAGCTCACTGAATAAATAGGTATCCATGAGTTTATATTGATCTTTAAAAAAATGAATGGTAAGTTTACTAAAGAAGCATCTCCCTACAAAATTACAGGGGAAAACAGTAACTTTAGAGAAGTTTAGCACACACTATCCTAATCAAGTAATCAAGGCTAACGTCACCAGTAATAGAACAAATCAAAATTGCGTACAATCTGATAAAATACACGAGAACAGAATATGACTTCTGTGATACTCCTGCTAAAGACGTGTAACCCGAATCTAATCAATGAGGAAACAGAGAAACCTAACTAGAGGGACATTCGAGAAAAATAACTTGCCCAGGATCCCTCAAAAGTAGTAAGATCATGAATGTCAAGGAAATGACTGAGGAATTGTCTGGACTGAAGGAGACACGACAACTAAATGTAACACACCTTCTAGCCTGGATCTTATTGCTTAAAAAGGACATTACTGGGACAACTGGAGAAACTTGAATGAGGTCTGAGGACTAGACGTTAGCAATACATCCACGTTATTTCCTGATTTTGATGGTTGCATTGTGGTTACGTAGGATTGTTTGTAGGAAATACACACTAAAATATTGGGGTGGGGGGTGATAGAGCATTGCGTTAGCAACTACTTTCATATGTTGGCTGGTGAGAGTTTTGGGTACTGTTCTCCCAACATTTCTGTAAGTTTGAGATTATTTCAAAATAAAAAAAGTCATGAGATTGTCAATTTCCTTACACTTCTTATCACATTAACCTTTAAAAAATTGCTTTGCCAATCTGACAGGCAAAAAAAGAAGGAATCCCACTTCAATAACAAATGTTTTCATAGCACTAATTCCCTTCCAACATACTGCACAACACTTATCACATCTTTTGTTGATCTCTCTCTCTCCACTAGAACGTAAGGAGTGGTCTTTTATTCCCTGATGGACCCCAAGGGCTTAGGGCAGTGCCCAGCAGAGGGCAGACAACAGAAATCTGATGACTGAAGGGACAAATGACCTATATTTAGCTCTCGATAAATGGTAGGGAGGATCAGCAGCCTTATGATTCCCCTATTGGAACGTAAATTGCAGGAGGACAGGGAATTTTCTGTTTTCTTGCACCAGGAGATCCCCAGAACCTAGAACAATTCCTGGCACACGAAACACCTCAATAAATGTTTGTTGAATGAACATCCTCCTGTGCGCCAGGCACCGCACGGTTTTAACCCGCCAGCATCTCGCCGGAGGTGGGTGGTGTTACCTCATCACACGCATTTTACAGTCGGGGAAGCAGGTTCCGAGAGGCCAGCGGTGGGGGCGCCTGCCCAGCGTCCAGGGCGGACCGGGCCCTGCCGGCGGCTGGGGCGAGGCTCTGGGAGCCCCAACCCGCCTCGGGCCGCCCACCCCGGCGCTGCTCACCTTGGCCCCGGGCCGCCTCTCCTCAAGTTCCCAGCGGGCTCTCATCGCCTCGGCCGCCCCGACCAGCTTGTTGGGGGCCCGCCTCCTCTTCCTGCCCTTCTTGGGGAGCCCCCCGGTCCTCGCCCTCTCCGGCTCCATGAGGCTGTGCAGAAAGATCGGCTGGAGCTGAGGAAACCCGGACGCCCAGCTTCCCGGCCCGCGCGTCCTGAGTGGAGAGCGGCAGGGGCGTCGACAGCTACCACCTTCCTCAGATCCTCTCCTCAATTCCCTTTACACAGCGCTCCCCGCCCGCCCCGAAAAGCCAGGGCGCCGACCGCCTGCCCCAAACCAAACGGTTTTACCGTCCGCGCCGGAGGCCGGATTCCAAACGGTTCCCCAACGGCGCAAACGCGCCTCTGCCCCTCGGACAAGAGGGAAGGGGGCGCTGCCAAGCGGCTCCCCTCGACCAGAACCAGTCCCCACGTCCCGAAGCCCCGAACCCCCTCAGCCGCGCCGAGCGTTAGAACGGACCGGAAGTGGATTCGGCGGACTTCCGGCGGTTGGGCTGTGAAGCAAAAGGCATGTCGGGAAAGGCGGCCGAGAGGCTGGGGTGGTACGCGAGGGAGTTCCGGGCGGAGGTCGCTCCGGGTCCGGTGCTGGCGTCCGCGCAGGCTGGGCAGGGGCAGCCGCGGGCTCTCCCACCTGCGCTGTGTGGCCCGGGCTGAAAGGCCTCAGCCTGCAGCCTCAGGCCGTCCTGTTCACGTGGTTGGAAGGACCAGGGTCCTTGACTGTGTGGCCTAGAGCCGGTGTCGGCCCACTCTGGGCCTCGGGGAAACGATTGGACGTGACAGCGTTCGGAGGTCTCAGGAAGCCCCCACCGCACCCATGAAGCTGTTCATCCCACTACGTCCTAGGGATCCATTTAATGCACAGTGTGAATGGTTGTGGCCTTCTCCCTGCTTCCTGGACACGCTGTGCACATTTGTGATTTCTAGAATTGGTGTAATAAAGAATGCATTTGGTATGTGAGTTCACATACCAAATATGTGTTTTTTGGCAAATTACCAAATTCGTTTTCTCATTCATTACATACAGGTAGCAAAAGTGACCACCTTGTACAGTGGTTGAGGATTAAATGAGGTCACCATCTTAGTTCAGTGCCTGGATGTAGTAAGCAATCAATAGAGGTTAACTCTCATTCTCAACACCCCATCACACCTCATAAACAAAAAAACTAGAACAGGAGGCGTCTGCCTGGTTAAACTCTACTTACTCATCAAAGTAGTTTGTCTCGCTGTCTCAGTAAGCTCTTCCTTCTCTGTGGACTCAGTGTCATTGGATATCCTTTATCATATATTACCTTATAGTAGCTTAGCGTGGATGTCTAGTTTTTTTCCTCAGATATTTTAAGCTCCTAGAAGACTGGACCTGCCCTGTCTCCTCAGAACTGTGCTGTACACATAGCAAGGGCTTGAAAAATGCAAAGGGAAGAGTAACTTAAGCTTTTCAATGCATCTTTACTTCTATGATCACTTCTGTGCTATCACTGAAAACTAAGGGGGAGGGAGTCGAAAGACTTAGTCTAAGCTTGCAATATGTGCTTTGAGGCCCATGCAGGTAAAATGACTACTAAAATCAAAAGACAGGGTGGCAGTTAGTACAAAAATCAAGGTCTTTTGCCCTCAAAGTCTAGTTCAGTCTCCTCTCAATCACAATACATTAATACATTAATAATGAGGGTTATATCATTAGTTTTTTAGCCTATTTAAACAGGAGTGTGAATGAGTTTGTTGAACATATTGGGTTCTTTTACGCTTTTAGGCAGCTTGGATTAATTAGGAGAAAGTCAATTGCACCAGCAAATGGAAATCTAGGAAGAAGCAAATCCGATAAGCAGTGTGCTTAGTTTCTTTACATTTTGTAGCTTGGCACTTTTAACACTGGTAAAGCCTAAGGACACCCAGATCTTTTGCAAAGCAGTTGTTTGACTACTTAATTGTCATGGATTTTGAGTCGATATGCTGGAACGATGGGAAACGCCACCAGTGCCAGAAAATAAGTAAGTCTGGACTGCCAATGGCCAAGACTAGCGCTAGATCAGTAACTTGAAGGTTTCTAGACAGAAATCAGTCAACAGTTAGTTTAAGAAAACAAAATAGTCTATGAATTGGTAGTTTACTATAAAACCTGATTTGACACAAAAAAAGAAGAAAAACATGAATACCTATATGTGTCATCATACAAAATAATCGTTTTAGGATTACGTACAAAATCTCAATTGCATAGAAGTGAAAAAAAAACACCTCTGCAAAAACGAGTACATTTCAACTTCCTTATGGTCTTCATATTTAATTGTGGAAATATATTCAAGACTTTTAAGTAGATATACTTATAACTTAATATTTTGAGTTATTCTTTGACATAACTTTATTATAATCATTACATCACACTGCTTTGGTCATTTTAATATGCCTTTACTGAAACAGGGATTGTTTAATAATGCTAGATGATGGTAATCTAGGTTTAATTTAGAGTGATTACAGCATT